GAAGGAAGGAAGGAAGGAAGGAAGGAAGGAAGGAAGGAAGGAAGGAAGGAAGGAGCGAGCGAGCGAGCGAACAAGCGAACGAACGAACGAACGAGCGGCCAGCTGGCCAGCCACTCAGCCAGCCAAACAGCTGCCCAGGATGTAAGCTTGGTAGGAATGGTGATGGTGGCATTTTGTATCTGGAGTTTGTTGAAAAATGAGACTGCTCCATCCTTTGGCTCTAAGTTGCCATAATACTTGGCTAACTGGCTTTTACCAGAGGAGGAGGTGGGGCAGGGAAGACTGGGGTATGGCCTCTGAGTGGATGCCTGTGGGAGGAGGTGGGGTGGGGAAGCTTAAGGTGGGTCTGATTCACCAAGCAACCCCGATGTGCTGAACCACAGTTCGTGCCCATCTCTACAGAACAAGACTGAGACTAAGAAGGGCAGCAATGCAGGAATTAGAACAGATCCTCAAGTGCAAGTATGTGTCTCCAGAGACCGATACCAAGATCACTTTGGTGATCTCTTGTATTTCTTATCACCATATACGGGTGTGAACGCTGGACAGTTAAGAAAGCTGATAGGAAAAAAATTGATTTGTTGTTTGAAACGTGGTGCTGGAGGAGAAGCTTTCCAGATACCCCAGAGTGCCAGAAAGACAAACAAGTGGGTCCCAGATATCCTAGAGTGCCAGAAAGACAAACAAGTGGGTCCTAGATCAAATCAAGCCTGAACTCTCTCTCAAGGCAAAAATGTTGAAGCTGAGGCTGTCCTACTTTGGGAAGGATTCTCTGGAAAAGACAAAAAAGCTGGGAAAGGTGGAAGACAGCAGGAAAAGAGGAAGACCAGATACGACATGGACTGACTCACTGAAGGAATGAGTTTACAAGAGCTGAGCAGGGTATTTGAGGACAGGAAATTTTGAACATCGCTCATATAGGGTAAATATAAGTCAGAGGCAACTTGATGGCACGTAAAATTTTGGACGTCGCTCATATAGGGTAAATATAAGACAGAGGCAAATTGATGGCACGTAACAGTAACAACATCCACCCCATTAAAATATAAAAAGTACCCCTGATCGATTTGGTTATATTTCCCCCTATCAGGGCATGACAGCCATTACGCAGCTTGTGCTGTTTTAACTTTCACCCATTTTAACTTTTGGTATCTACATGGATAAAAACGCATATAGGGGCTCCTTAAAGGGCTTATGTGGACTATTCCCTTATTCTGGAGGACAGGGATACAAGAAGCCCACATATACCTCTTGTCTATTACTCAAACTCCAAATAATTATTACAGTCTGCATAGTGTCTGCATCCAGTCAGAAGGAAATGAGGGATGGGGATATGGGGGGGGCGAGGAGCTGGAGACTAAATCTCCTGATTCCCATAACAAGTCATGAAGGCAAATGTGTTGAGAGGGGTGTGTGTCTCATAGAGACAGTGTTGTGAGCTCTGCTCTGTGTTTCCCTCCCTGCCAAAGCCGTTTGGTGGCCTGTGAAAAACCAGACTGTCTTTGTGTGTGAGAAGGGATGTTCATATTAGTACAGACTCTCCCCCCCCCCGCTCCAAGTAACTTTTAAAGCAAGACCTTTTTAACTTTAGCACCCACAGAAACAGAAGCAATTGTATCGGATAACTTCATTTTATTTTGGTTACGATTATAAATGGCATTAACTTCATTTAAATGTGTAGAAATATCATATGGCAATTGTATAAAGAGATTACACATATATGAGGCAATATCCCAAATATAAGATTCAGATGCTGCTCTAAAGACTTAGGAGGGAAAAAAAGGCCCCCCGTTGCCCATTTAAAATGCTTGCTTTGGAGGGCGCAACAGGGAAGAAGAAAAAGGTGTACCACTGGTTTGTTCAGCGGGAAACAAGAGCCACGTGGCTCCAAAAAAACAGTTTTTTAAAGCCCAACTGGTTTCTAATGGCTTTGACACAAGGCAGAGTACAAAAATGTGCAAAGACCCCAGCCATCAATGAAGGCAGCAGCCCCTTCCTTGTCCTGCTGCTTTTCGTCTTCCTCCTCTTCTTCATCATTTCCGACACTGGCTCCTTTAGGATCCCTAAAGCATGTGCGCTAAAATAACTTATATATAGTCCTTTTCTTGGTGTATATTAATATATATCTATATTTATATTTATATAAAAATACAATGTACCTTTTTGTTGTTTCAAATGATTGGTGGCTGAAACACCAATAACGTTATGGTTCCTCTTCCTTAGTATTCCTATTTAATTCCCTGGTTGGGGGCTCTCTGATGGTTAGGAGAAAGAGAAGAATGTTTTTGGCGTATAAAAACATAGAGAATTTAATGGCGAAAACCTTTCAACTTGTACTTTAAAGGGGATGTAAATGTTCTTTGAGGCGTATCAATCAATGAATGGATTTGGTGCATTTTTTTAAAGCAAGTGGTATACTTGGTTTTTTTACTATGGTTTTTCCTGTGTGTTTTCCCGAGATCTTAAGCATCCCAGATTTGCAGTTTTATAAAGAGACTGAAAGAAGGAAAGCGACATTCCAGGCAAAATGTCCAATAAACTGGGATAATCTCTCCTTCACAAACTACATAAATGAATAAAAATGAACAAGAGTTGTGGTCTTGAACTACTCTCTCTTCCCTTGTGCAAAAGAATTTTTTTCCGGGATCTCAGCAAACATTGTTAATTCTTTGGGCAGAAAAGAGAACGTGCATATCGAGAAATCAATTTTGCCAAATATGTAAAATCTACTCCCTTGAAACATGCCAGCAATGATTCATTTTAGTTCTACTGCAACATCACATTGTTTTTTTTCTTTTTCTTTTAAATTACTAAAACAATCCTGGAAATCTTTCTAACTCTCTCCTCAAATGAAGAAACTATCACACAGGACAGGGGCCCCCCAGGTGGTTTCGAAAAATCATTTCAAGTAAATGTATGCTTAAGCAGAGACTTCTTGCCCTACAAGGAACGGAATGTCTAGTTTCTTTGGAGTTGCATTAGAGAGAGACAACGCCTTCTTTGACCTCTTAGCAATAAATCACACCCTTGTTCTGGTGGGAGGAGAACTTAAAATGTAAAAGCAAAAGGCATGGGGGTGGGAAAAAGAGATTTGTCCCAGGATCACTGTGATATCTGAGTCAGAAGTGTACGCCTACAGTCCACTTTTGCTTCTCACAACAAATGGAATAGGACCTTCCTATGCCCAGAATTACCCAATCTGCCCCCCCTCCCCTTAGTGGTCTTTGGGACAGACTGGAGGAGGAAAATGTCTCTGTGAAGCAAAAACACAGTGCCAACGGTTGCTAAGAAGCTGTATCCAGAGACCGTTCGCCGATCTTCTCTTTGGCTCACTGATGGGGACCCAGCTGATCAAGTTCAGTTGGGTATACTGCCACTGGTCCAGAACAACCGGCCAGGAACCCTATCCAGGGCAACTTCTTCTATTCCAAGATCATTTGCATCCCACGTGTAGCATGTTTAGGTGGGAAGGATTCCAGCTGATGAAGGAGAACAGGCAGCGTTTCTGAGGAAATGTCCACACTGGCAGGAAAAGCTTTTCTTCTTCTGCCCTTGACAAGACTTCATACGCTTCTTCGAAATTGGGAAAACGTCTAGGACTAGTAAAAAAAACTGACACTCCTGTCCTTGGGACTACTGAGTATCACTGGATGCCACAGCTCCATTCTCAGGCTTCGGTTGCTTTGGGGTCCCCTGGAAAAAGAAGCATTTCAGGGTCAATTAATGACAGTGCTCTGTCTTCCTCCTGCCTCGTTTTAGCTTAGTGCATCTTTTCTCAGCTTTTCCCTTGTCTGACAGTGGCCACCTCAGACTAAAAGCTTGTGTGGGTCCCCGTGCATATTCTCTTCCCATTTACAGCCCCATGGGTGTAACAGCTGTGGGTGGATTATCAGAGCTTTGGAGGCCCTGTTTCCCCAAAGGGGCAAAATGCTGCACACCTCCATACCTTGTATTTGACTCCAAGCCAGTTTTTGAGCTCTTGAGGCATGAGGTGGGGGTGGGGGGCAACAGCACAAGCATATGTGGTTTGTTCATGCCAGTTTAAAAACCAACCATCCAATATCAGCTTGAGGTGACACCGCAAAAAAACATCTCCTGTACTACTGCTGCAAAGTTCCGACAGTGACTTAAATAAGGATTGGCCACAGGTTTGGGTCCCAAGGACACATGAGCAGGGATTTCTACATTATCTTGGCAGATCCTGAAATTATCCAACCTTAACCAGCCCCCCAATTACTTGCTGAAGGAATTGACAGCCTCGTCCCAAAGGAAGAAGGATGTCGTCATCCTCATCAGTCTCCTGCAGAGGAGGGCTGGTGGACTTGTAAGCACTTGTCCCAACGGTGTCATGTGGATCTCCAACAGTGTGGGAGACACGAGGGCACGCAGTGGCCCCCTGCTGAAAAGTTCTCATGCAGCAGAGAACCTTTCGCTGACATCTGCCTGTGAAGCAATGACTTGCTTCTCAGCAGCAGCTTGCACAGGCATGTGGAACAGAAGGACACTTTGAGTCAGGGATACCGGCAATTAATGAAAGCTCCAGCAGGACCCACAGGAGCACCTTCTCCCTGTCCCTCTCACCACACAGCTCTCAGCCCCACCAGCGTATCTTTTTATCCTCTCCTTGGTGTTATTATGCTTTAAGAAATAACAGCTTGAGGTTGGACTTTGGTGAGAAATTTGCAGATGCATTCTGTTGGACACCAGCCTCTAGTTCAAATCACCTTTGCAGATGTTGGACACCAGCCTCTAGTTCAAATCACCTGTCATTTCTTGTGATTTCAGCAAAGATTTGATAAAGTTCCACATGATAGTTTTGATTAGCAAGCTGGTTAAATACAGTTTAGATTACAATATTGCTAGATGAATTTGGAGTGAGGCGGAAAAGGATATATTCTCAAAACTTGTTTGCCAATAGTTCCTCATCAAAGTTTTGTTTTGTTTTAATGAGGTGCAAGAGAGCAATTCTCTTCACCAATCTGATTATTAATTTTAGAGAGGTGTGCGGAGAGAAACTGGATCAGATTTGCAGATGACATAAAACTGAGAAACATCACCATAATCTCAGAAGAAAATATTAAAATACAAAATGATCTGGAGAGTTTTAGTCAACTTTTAATCCCATTAAACAGAAGTAAGTGCAGTCCTGAACTGAGGGAAAACTCAAGCACCCAAAAAAGAGGATGGAAGTGACATAGCTTGGGAATTGTACTTGTAAAAAGGGTTTTAGGATTGTAGTCGATCACCAACAGAACATAAGTCACAATGTGACAGAATCATAAAATCATAGCCTAAGGGAGTTGGAAGGGACCTATAAGGCCATTGAGTCCTACCCCTCCTGCTCAAGGAAGGAATCCAAATCAAAGCAGATCCAACAGATGGTTGTCTAGTTTTCTCTTGAATGCCTCCAATGTTGGAGCACTCACCAGTTTCCGAGGCAATTGGCTCCATTGTGCTACTGCTTTAACAGTTAGGAAGTCTTTTCTGATATTCATCCTAAATCTGGTTTCCTGTAGCTTCTGCTACAGTGTCCTGCACTCTGGGATGATTGAGAACAGATCCTGCCCCTCCTCCGTTTGACTACTTTTCAAGTATTTGAGAAGTGCTCTCATATCTCCCCTCAGTCTTCTTTTCTCAAGGCAAAGCATGCTCCGTTCTTTCTGTCTTTCCTCATAGGGCTTAGTTGCCAGTCCCCTGATCATCCTTGTTGCCTTCCTCTGAACTTGTTCCAATTTGTTGGCATCCTTCTTAGAGTGTGGTGTCCAGAACGGGACACAGTACTCAAGGTGAGGCCTGACCAGTGCTGAATAGAGAGGGACTAGTACCTCACGGGATTTGGAAACTATACTTCTATTAACATATCCTAAAATATCATTTGCCTTTTTTTTTGCAGCCACATCACAACTGTTGGCTCATATTCAGCTTGTGATCTATGACAATTCCAAGATCCTTCTCACTAGCGGTATAACTGAGCCAAGTATTCCCCATCTTGTAAGTGTGCATTTGGGTTTTTCCCCTAGATGTAGAACTTTGCACTTATCCCTATTAAATTTCATTCTCTTGTCTTCAGCCAAGCATCCAGTGATGTGGCTGTAAAAAAAAAAGTGCATGGAATTTTTAGACTGCATTAATAGAACCACGGTTTCCCATGTCCTGGGAAGTAATGGTTCCACTTTATGTTGCACTAGTCACACCTTATTTGGAGTCCTATGATCAGTTTTTGAACAACATATTTGAATAAGGCTTTAGATAGTTTGGAAAGTGTCCAGAACACGGCAACAATTATATGGTAACAATTATTCTACAATTCTAAGAACATTAGAGCAACAATGGTAGCAATTATTCTACAATTCTAAGAACATTAGAGGTTCAGCTGCATGTCCTACATAAAAGAAGCCCTCCAACTTTACAATTCTGCCGTTCTTTGACTGTGTGTCAACTCACCGGAGATGTGGGTTTGGCAAAGTTCAGGTGAGCATACAGCATGATGGCGATATCATTTTGACCTGCTTCTAGTGCAATGGAGAGAGCTGTGCTGCCATCCTGCAGGAGAAGACAAGCAGACAAGATCACCAACCATAGTGATGGAAGCTCTTGCTGGAACAATCACTGGTTCTGTCAAACAGCTGGAAAGGGGCTAATTTTACCCTTTCACAGCCTTCCTCACCAGCATCATAGGAGACAAGCACCCGTAACTAGACCAAAGGGATCTAATTAACACCTGTTTGTCATGATTAGCTAAATAGGATATTCACGGACTTCTGAATGCTGATGACAAACAGGGAAGGTGCTCGTTTCCTTGTCCTGCTTTTACATGCCTTCTTTAAGCAAAAGGTCTCTAGAGATACCTGGCTGGCCAGTACTGGGCACAGAAGGCCCCTTTGGGTCCTTGATCTGTTGCAGTTGGGCAACTATAATTCATTTACAGTCTGTGATTCTAGGATTACGTTCACTTTTATACTAGAATCTAGCACAAAGCTAGATTCTCCTTCACTCTCTGGGCATAGCTAAGCCTCAAGTATAGACCATTTCAGGATTTTAATGCTCAATTCCTTCCTTCCTTCTGGTATCAAGGCTAACATCTGCTAAATGAGGTTGAATGCAGTTACCCAATGGTGCGGAAGAGGCAATATTGCTTCAGATAGTCCAGTGCTGGAACCTGGCACAAACAATACATGTTAATTTTGCTGGGATACCATTGCTGCCTTGTCATGGTGAAAGGGCTTGAGTAAGTCAGAGAAGCTATAGGCTATGCCATGCAGGGACACCCAAGACGGACAGGTCATAGTGGAGAGTTCCGACTAAATGTGATCCACCTGAAACAGGAACTCGCAATGCCACTCCAGTATCTTTGCCAAGAAAACTCCATGGACAGAAACAAAAGGCTAAAAGATATGATGCTGAAGACGGGGCCCTCAAGTTGGAAGGCATCCAACATGCTACTGAGGAAGAGTGGAAGACAAGTACAAGTAGCTCCAGAGCTAATGAAGTGGTTGGGCCAAAGCTGAAAGGACGCTCAGTCGTGGATGCGCCTGGAAGTGAAAGGAAAGTCTGATGCTGCAAAGAAAAATACTGCATAGGAACCTGGAATGTAAGATCTATGAACCTTGGGAAGCTGGATGTGGTCAAACAGGAGATGGCAAGAATAAACATCGACATCCTGGGTGTCAGTGAACTAAAATGGAACGGGAATGGGCGATTTCAATTCAGATGATTACCGTATCTACTATTGTGGGCAAGAATCCCGTAGAAGAAATGGAGTAGCCCTGATAGTCAACAAAAGAGTGGGAAAAACTATATTGAGATACAATCTCAAAAATGATAGAATGATTTCAATACAAATCCAAGGCAGATCTTTCAACATCACAGTAATCCCAGTTTATGCATCAACCACCGATGCTCAATGGGCTGATATTGACCAATTCTATGAAGACTTACAACACCTTCTAGAACTGACACCAAAGAAAGATGTTCTTCTCATTCTAGGGGACTGG